ATGATGTGCCATGTTGTGAGGGCATTTGTAAAGCCCAGAAGTCCAGAAGTTGAAATATGTATATCTCTCATATAGCAGAGACTTGGAGACTCGAGTCTTGGGCAAGGCATACCTGTATCTTTGTGGCGGCGCGATGCCGTTTGGCAGGCGTGGTCTGGCAAGAGGCACCACACAAAAACAGGAACCCTCTTGACTGCCTTTGGACTACACCACGCCTCCCTACTAGAATCAAAGACAATACTAGAATCAAAGATCAAAAATGACGCTTTCAAGTTTCTTAAGGAGTTGCTTCCACCGGACTTTCCATGCCTGGGACAGCACCAGTTGTCTAGCACCTCCTGAACCTATCCGCTCCATCCGAAGCCTGGCAATACGAGTCACAAGCGAATGCAAGCCTTCAGTGTGGCTCAACTTGAGGCGGTCGTGCTCATTTCAAAAGAACAACTCTGAGCTTTTTCATCACATCGTTTAGTTGCAGACTCCTTACCTACTCCGTCCTCCTTAAATTTGATCTCTTGATCATTCTCATCTTGAGAGACCGGCGGAAATAGTCTTGAAACAGTGCAAGCCTTAGCATTCCTCTGAGCGGCTGTGGCCCTTTTTGGACGATTGCCTCAAAATCACATCTGACGTTCATGTTGTGGCAGCCAGCCAGCATAATTGCAAATAGAAAGGGAACAGTAATTCTGTTTACAGTAATCACCATGTCACACCGCCACTGTGAAGAGCAAATATGCAATCCGCTCATCAGCCTGCTCTCGGGCTACTTGAAGTCTCTTCTTTGCCAGAAGGACCTGATGCATGCGATGCATCCGTCAACAAAGGGCACAAGCAGGAGTCCCTAGTAGCTTCTTGCTCCTAGTAGTAAGGCCAGGAGCCCCTAGTAGCGTCCTTGCTCCTAGTAGCGATGCCCTTTGCTCCTAGTAGCGTCCTCTTGCCCCTAGTACTAAGGCCAGGAGAGCAGAGTCTCGGAGCGAACCCAAAGAAAGGCGATAACCGCAGTCTTGTCGTCTAATAGCGAGCGAAGAAACAGGAAGCAATTTTTCTTTTCTCACTTGAAAATACTTGAAATACGATTAAGTAGTAACAAAGAAGCTAGTAGTAACAAGTGCATCGCTAGTAGTAACAAGTGCCTTACTAGTAGTAACAAGAAGCTATTAGAAGCAAGTCTCAAGTCTCCCATAGCTCCCCGACGCGTCCCCAGGTCTGGATCTTCAAGACGCATGACCTGGCGACGGCGGCTGCTATCAGAGCAGGTCTGGTTACTGTTCCAATTATATAAATTATGTATCCCCTTGATATTGAGGTGGAGGGGTCTGGGCAACCATTTTGTAGGTATTTTTTTCAAAGTTCGGACTTCCATATTCTATATATCTATACTACCTTATTTCATTCGTTCTACCTTCATTATCTCATCTTCTATCCGATCCTCTGTTTTCCTTTTGATGTGTCTTTTCATTTTGGGTGGGGGTGGGGGTGGACTAGGTTGCAAGAGGAAAGTCGAAGCTGTAGCCAAGTGGAAAGCTTGGAAGCTACGACATGACTCAAAAGAGCAAAAGGTTCTTCCAGGAAACTTGTAGCTTCTTTGAATAACCCTTTGCATGATCAAAACGGTTCCGGACTCAAGAAAGCGCATCAAGTGGATAGAGAAATCGAAAGTGAAACATTGCTGGACATCTGATCACACGAAACGAAACGGAGAAAGCAAAAAAAACAAGTGCAAAAACATAGCCGAGTTCGCATGTAGCGCAGTCTGTCTTCATCTCTTCTCCCGTGCAATTCCAGTACGAACTGAACTGCTTCACAAGAATGGAAGGAAACGCAGAAGCATTGTCGCTTAAACCACTAGCATCAATGCATGATGCCCATCAATTACATACAGTATATTATATAAACTACTGTATATGTTGTTGAAGGCATTGAAGACCTCAAAAAGATCACAAAATGTGCCCATTCTTGATGTCTTGTTGTGACAGGAGTCATCAGTCGACATTTGATCTTCGTCAACAAATAAATCCTCTGAATACCAGAAGATCTCCACGCTCAAGCCACATGGCGCTGTGTTTTCTACCCTGCAGTACTCGAGATATCGGTGTCACTCCCGCCTCAAGAGGTCCTTTTCTGCTTCAGTGGGCTCCTTGGCAGCCAGCTTCATGCTCATTTCATATGGTTGCTTGGGCCCATATATGAGTACAAGTTGTTTCTTAGTCTTCGCTGTCAATCGACCCAAACCAGTGAAACAATACAAAGTCGCGGCAAACCTGACACTGCTGTTTTGAGGTTTGGACTTCCGGTCTTGGCTGTCGGGCCAAAATGGGAAAGCGCTCTTTCATTCGAGCCACCATCTTGATCCTGCGCTGCATGATGAGTCTCATTCCTTCTTTGTCGAACAAACTTGAAAACAAAGTAGGAACTTCTCCTTGCATAGAGCACATGGTAGACTGCCATGCGCGGATCATCAAACCTGGCAATTCGCAGATTCACATTCCAACTCACCAACAGACAAGGACCTCTTGTGCAACCACAAATTCAACTCCAACGACAAATCTCTTCTAAGGCCAAGGTAGACTTGGGGAGGCAAGTAGCCCGGGGGTGGGGCGACATGAGCAGTGGTTCTTTAAAGAAGCTTTGTTCTGCCCTCTCAAGGGCGAGAGACGCTTCATGAAGAACCTTCGCTGAAGGAAGCAGCTTGCCCACGTAGTGCTTTCTGTGTGCTGTTGTCAAAGTTTCCTGCCTGCTTTCCTCTGTGTGTTTGTTGTAGAAGAACTTCTCTCCATCCTCCGAATGGACCCGCCAAAGCACAATGTCACAAATCCGTGCAAAGTTCTGCACGTTCGGTCAGCAAAAAAATGCAAAAACATACGGTTTGCATCTTGCCGCTCACCTCAGAGAAGAGCTCCATCCAATCTGCCAGGTCTTTTCGGATGTTCTCCTTGTGTCATGTTGCCATCAAAGCAAGCTTTCAATGTCTTGGGTGATCAAAGCTGCAAGGCTGGCGATGGCGATCAATGGCCTCTTGCTCGGCGATCTCATCCTCGATCTGCCAGAAGCCTCCAACTTCGACAACCTCCAGCAAAGCAGTAAGAGTAAGAGTGCTAAAGAGTGGCGAACCAAAAAGTCAAGGCGGTTCTTGCATGTTCTTGCAATCTTTATAAGATTATTGCACAACTTGGTGCAACCTCCAGGTTGAGTATGCTTTCTCGTGTTGTTTGCGTGTTTCAACTGATTACAGTATCTCAGACCACAACTCGACGCTGGTAGTCTACAATCTCACGGAAGAGGTCGTCCATGGGATGCCTTGACCATTCAGAAAAGTCACTGATAATCGAATGACCGCCAATACCACTACGAATGTCTTGCGACATCCAGCACTTTAGCACTTTATAGTGCCAGGTCGATGCACAGGCATACATGGCTATTCAAGCCATGCGGCTTCCAGGTAGACTCACCAGTGGAGCCATTATGGAAGTATACTCGGCACTGCTCATCCTGGCCAGATGCAATCTGCAAGAGCTTGCCCCTACAAAGTGCCTCCAGTGACTATTGCTAAGTGAGGATGAAAACCTATGCTCAAAATGAAGGCCTGATGCTCTGTCCATCCAGGTGGCAAAGGAGCATTGAATGCCTGGCGAAGGAGGCAATACCGAGTCTCTCGTCTGATTCCACAGCCGGCAAAGAGCCGGAAGGGACACGTAGAAGCTCCACACTTGAAGTCTTTCTGTATACAATTGCGCTGGGGAAGCGTCTTCAGCGATCCACAGCATGTCTGCTTCTCTGATTGGGTCGATATTCAAGCTTTTAACGTACCTGGTGATTCTGCATCTGCAAACATGGCTTTCCACTCTTGAAAACCCAAACACCTGCACTGAGTATGCTCTGCTTGGCTCATAAACGAGAATTAGCTCCATTCCATCAATGGGACTGACAAAGCTCGTGTCGAGTCGAAAGTTGATGCTCTTCTTCATTGTTCGATTCAATTGCAGCTGCCCAAGGTCACTCCAGCATCTCCACCACGCCCGCTTGCTGCAGGGTAGGACAGGTGTAAAGCTCAAGGCACAACTGGGTTGTCTCTAAACCGAAACGAGCGTTCCATCCATCCCTCAGACGAAGACTGGTTGCAGTTTAGAACGTTGTAATTAAAATAGTCAATGAGTCACATGAAAACAACGTCTCGTGCTTGAACAATACTACCTTGCCTGGCGCCTCGGCATTCCGGTGGTGCCCGCAGAACCGGCAAAACTTCCCATGCCGGTCGTCCCTGGAGCAAAGCTGCTCCCTGCCTTGATGGGGAAAAAAACATGTCTGCCGTTTCTTTCTCTTGTCTAAAATGTTTTTTGTCCGCAAGACTTTAGATCCAGATATATTTCTTTCTCCCGAATCTTTCTTCCTTTCCTTCTTCCATTCTTTGTGTTTAATATTTGCTTCAGTTGCTGTGGCCCCTGCTGTCTGCGACATGGCCATACTGTACAACCTGAGCAGAAGTCCATAAACCTGCTGAGGACATGGCTAAAGCCATGGCCTGTGAACTGCCCTCTAGCCAAGAAGCCGCAGGAGCCGCGCTACCCGCGAAACACAAGGAGCCCTACCTGCTTTGTCATGTCAATGTGCTTTAGCTTGAGCAAAGGCAACGGCCGAGCTTTCATGAGCTTAGCAGCTCAGTCATTGTTGGTCTGCAAAACAACTCATGTATGGGTAACCATCAATCTGCACCTGGAGTCCAATAACTAACAACTGAAGACACAATCAACAAAGACTACTGTATACTGTATACAGTCTAGTTGACCGAAGGACGTGCACTTGAAAAGTGTCTCGGCAGAAAGGATACAGTCAATTTTGCAGGGTAGAAAAATAGCATGGCCTACTGCACACGCCTCACAGGATCTATCAAACCATAGATGCAGAAACACTCAAGAATTGCGATTATACATACATACATACATACATATATATATATATATACATGAGAGTCTGGCAACCTGACAAACTAGTGAGCGGATGTCCTCCTGAACCAGAATCCTGTCCTTGCAAATCGGAGAGCAGTTGGACATTGGAGTGTCTTGCAAATTGCGGATCCTCACAAGTAGGAGCCCTAGTTAGGAAAAGCATTGATTGGCTCATTCATCAGACTCTACACATATTCAACAGCCCCCGTCCAGAGCAGAGAATATGTTCTGAATCATGTTCTGGGCACCCAAAAGAGTCCTGAAAGGACATAGCCGTCACATGCTTTAGATGCTGTATGCTGCTGCCCTTCAGCACTTGGTGCTTGCTAAGCACAGAACTGCAGGCTCTTCAAGGTGTTGTCCTTGAACTTACCCCCAAGCCCTTGAGGCTCGCAAACCTGAAGGAATTGCATCTTGAAACTCGCTTGAAGAACCTGCCAAAATGTTCGCTTGAACATGACTGGATCGGGATCACTTCCGTGTTCTTTCCCCTGACAGTTCGAGACTGCTCTAAGTGAAGGGTTCACATGCAGTCACAATGAGTCGCGTCCATTTGCCAACCTTTGCAGATTCTCCAATTGAATGACTGCCGCGTGATTCATGCAAAGGGCTTTGTACTCCCACTTTACAGAGGGCTGATCACACCGTAAAACTTTACAAAGGATCGATTTACATCCTGTGGAATCAGTCTCCAAATTGCGGCTCCCAAACAAAACAAGGAATCAGGGATGGAACCGCAAAGGTCCCAGCCTGCCATGGCTTCTGAGTTGGCTGTTTCGCAACTGGCATCTCAGTCTAGAGCATACAGTTCCCAGCATGGATCTTCCGTTGAGTCAGAGTAGCAACTTTTGCTAAAAAGCTGGCATGCTGTACTCACGCTGCAGGCCGTATCTGCTGCAGCAAATTGGAAGTTAGTGCAGCCTGGGGTGTTCTGACAGGCAACACGGCACTCTGTCGCCGAGCCAACCTGGGGTGAGTAGTCGATCATGCCGTTGCCGCGGTTCAGATTGCACTTTCTGCGCCCGGCAAAAATGTATGTCCGGCAATCCAAGTAGTAAGTCTCGCCCTTCCCAAGGTAACACTTGCCACTTTTAGGAGAGCAAAAGGCTCCACAGTTACTGCAGCAGTCCTGGTGCTCTCCGCCACCACCAGTCTCGCCGGTGCTCGTACTGCACTCCAGATAGTAGTACTTTCCCTTCTTGTCATAACACCTGCCGCTGAAGGGAGAGCAAAAGTCAATGCAGCCACTGCAACAACCTGGATGCGGCCAGCTGCGCGAGGCTCGAAGGGAGCTAGTGATGCTCACTCCAGTGGTGTTTCCAGCACTTCCCTGCAGGCTGGGCTCTGCAAACACTTCGCACATCAGCAACGCGGCAACAACCCGAGTCAGAGCCATGGGCGAAAGGCGAGAGTAAATGCTGCGAACTGGCCAAAGAAAACCTTGAGCCAATGCCAATTACAAGCGCTTCACAATCATTAGATCACAACAAAATCTGTCGTACTTGTGCCTCCCGAACGTAAACGACCTGGCCCTCCTGGTTGAAACTCACAAAGGATGCACCACGGCGGCCATCCAACTGACATGGGTCTGCAAAGGGTCGTGAGACAATGTCGAAAGCGCTTCGAGAAAAATATAAAAACCAAGTCAACAAAAAGCCGTTGCACCTGTGTCCAAGTGCAGCCACAGCTGTTTTGACCGTCATCAACCCGTTCAATATCTCTGGTGGGCCTTGTTCAGATTGAGTGCACATTGCATGATATTCTATGCTCGCCTTGGGTCATGGATTTCACATGTACAGCAACTACCCCTTGCCACAAACAAGAGTGCTTTTCTTCTCCAATGTTCCGAGGCTTGCCTTAGGTTCTTTTGAATTTCACCATATAAAAACTGTATATCCCCATCTATCAGCCTTAGGGCCTTCCAAATCAAAAACCAAAGACATCTAAAGACTACCGACAGGCACTGCCGACGAAAAGGTCGCTGGTTCAACCATGGGGAAAGCACGTATCTTTGTAAAGATGGCCTCCAACCTAATACGTTGCTCAGTGATGTCCAAAAGGCCTTTTTGTCCGCAATGGTTCCGTTTCTGATGTTCATGCCCATGTGACACTCTGTGTGGGTTTGGACATTTCAGAGGTTGCCGATGGTTCTCGCCTAGAAGTCGCTATTTAAACATAGGATTCCCTGCAGCAGGTCCGAAAAGTTATGAACAGTTGCTAGGTGCTTCTCACTAACCCACCACTACAGTCTACCACCAAGGTTGAACTTCTCACCGCGGGTTTTGGCAGCTGCTCATGGTGGAGACAAAATGACAAATTGATACGTCTTGGAATCCTTAAAATTTAGCTTGGATTCTGGAATCAAGGCCCCCTTCCGCACACTGCTTTGGTAGGCTGCATAAATGTTTGCCGTGGCCATGGCAAGTCCAGTATTGTCAGTTGAAAAGAGCGAGGTTGCACGTGTGGACTAGAAGGCCAGTTTGATCAGCCTTATCAGCTTAGCTTAACACCTAATGCACACCACGCCGACCACGCCCTCCACTAAACTTGTCTCCCTTCAGGTCATCCGTCAAAGCACGCTGCAATGATGCAAACTTAAATTGCTATTGCATGCAGAGTGGCCTTGTCGTCATCCAGTAGTTGTAGATCTTTTGTGGATTGCCACCAGGAAATGAAAACTGCGGAAACAGTGTGGTTGTGTCAACGCAAAGGCAACATGTGTTCTGTTGAAACGTTGATTTGTGCACACAAACAGGTTAAGCTTCTGCAGTTGGTTTTAGATGGTTTTAGCATGTTCAAACGGTGTGCCGCCATGCACCACAAGCAGGAAGAAACCTCAACGTGCCCATCGCACCTCGGGGGATTCGTACCATGGATTGGGGGAGAAGAAGGTCTTCTTGAACTCCTCGGAACAATATCATAAAAAGATCTAGAGACAAGAGGCTACTAGTAGCAAGGTGCAACGCTACTAGTAGCAAGGATGCTACTAGTAGCTCCTGGCATTACTACTAGGAACAAGAAGCTACTGGTTCCCAAAATTGCTCACCCTCCTCAACGAAGAGCCGCTGTATGCGCCGCTGAGGGCTGATCAACTGAGAACGACGGGAAGGAAACGATTTATCAATGGGAACCGATTCCAAATCAATCTGTTAACCTGTGCAAGTAAAGTCTGGATCAAGCTTGGTTCAACGGAGAATCCTTTACTTATACTCTCTTGGCTCAGCATGTGTGTGAATCCACCAATAGGCAATAAGCTCAACAGTTGTCCTTGCTAGAATTAAGCTCGCGACCTTGCGTTTCTTCTCGGCCTTCGATATGTTTGTAACACTCTCAAAATTTATAGAAGCCCATTGCATCCAGCAAACAAACAGCCATCAAGCCAGGTTTTTGATCTTGGGCACAAACATTCTTCACTGCATACACCACCTGCAAACAACTGACACATAGACGCCACTAGTAGCTCTTGGCCTTACTACTATATAGTAACAAGAAGCTACTAGCAACAAAGGGCATCGCTACTAGGAGCAAGGACTCTACTAGTAGTGTTGGACTTAAAATATACAAAGCTCCGAGCCGAAGGAGAAATCAAAGGCCGCAGCGCTCCTCTTTCTGTCTGCGGATGGGAAAAAGAGAGCCTGGACTACCTGGCCACATGAAGATGCAATTTCACGAAAAGCAACTTAGGCTTCTGGCCCTGCCAATCTGTTAATCAGTCTTCACACGACCCAGCTTGCAGTTGAGCAAATGCACTCGTATCCCGGCAGCGGTCACTTGCTTCGCAAGTGCCAAAAGAATCTCTTAAAGCTATAGTTTGCAAGAGCTAGTTGGCTGAGGAACAGTTTTGAGAACGGTTTAATTATTCATACTTGATTATTCGACATGAGTTACTCATGGTATGTGTAGCCTCCTGTTTTGTGTTCACTCCCATGACTTCCAATAGTGTCAGGTCTTCGGGCGGCTGAACGCCCTTCATAGGTTTGGAGTTTGGACAAAAGCTTGATAAGATTCTTGAGGCCCAGCAGGGTATTTGCACAGAGGATTCCGCGTAGTGTTTAGGAATCCTCTCTAAACGTGGCACCAAATGAGAGATCCCATAGCCAATCAAACAAAACATCTACTCATGAGCTTTAAAAGTCACATCACACTCGCCAAAACCCAAAATAGTCAAATTTGCCAGGTTCGTCATCTGGCGCTTCACTAGGCTTGAAAACGAGTTTTGAAAACGAATGAGCTGTAGAGCAATGTGGCTCTGCCAGTCGCTCTATTTCTGAACTTTGCACAAACGATGGAAGCTGGTCAGGCTGGTGATGCTTCTGAAATCCTCCTGGGCGAAGGAATCAAGTTACTGGTGAAGCAGTGTATGCATAATTAAAGCCTAAGAGAACTTTGACTACGATCTTTGTTGAACTCTTTGCAATTTCTGGTTCTAATCAGGCAGGTTCACACATTGTGCATATCATGCATGTCAGTCTTGTAACCAATGTTGCGCACATAGCTTTCGGGTGATCTCGAGTAGAAAGGAAAAGGATAGTGATAGTGATTGGCAAAATAGCAACGCTGCGGCCTTGATTTGTACAAGTGGACTTCTCATCTTTCCGAGCAATCGAGTACCTACGAGTGAAAAAGAATGAATGAGTGAAATTTTGGGGTGACGTCAAGATGGATCCAAACCCTGTGGTGCTGCAAACATAAATGTTGTTGTTGTTTCATGTTGTTTCTGTCCAAGAAAACACATCATTCCAATCAACCAATCAATCACAAATGTCTTGCTCCAATTTACTGTCGAATTTGGCCTGGTCGCGGAGGCTGTGTCTTTGGGCGAGGCAATTCTTGGGGATAGGCCTGTCAGCCAGGCACAGCTGGCATTTTAGCTGCACGATCTGTGCTGTCAACGAAGCCATGGTCTGAATTCACGAGTTGGCGGTCTGACCTCCTCTTTGTCGCTCCTTTTTGGCCAAACGCCTTCCTAACACGCCCCAGCCTTTGCAGGGTCACCATGGCACGTGAGCCGATGTCACCGCTGTTGAAGTGGTGTCGGCTTTTGCAAATGCACCATGTGCTCTGTGCGTTTCATCCCCTTTGGCTGCCTGGGATGTTTGCTTCTCCCGCGAATGGTCGCAGTTGCTAAAGTGTGAAAGCCTGCCTTTTCAGCAGCTTTCACAGTGGGCTGCAAATTGTCAAAGCCGCCATCACCTGCAACCTTCAAATCTCCATCACCAATCATCAAAGTAGCTGTACCTCCCTCTTTTAAGTTTTCGAAAGCAGAAGCCAGCCACTCCTCCTGCTGGGCTTGCCATTTGGCAGCAAATTGCAAGTCATTGATCCACAGGCTGTTTTGGCCTATCTCTCTCTCCGGCGCGTAGCTTGAAGAAGAGTCAGAAATCTCAGCATTCACAGGAGCCCTTGAACCGTGAATGTCTGAAGCAGGAGCGCAAAACTGATAAAGAACGTCTCCACCAAGCAAATCAGCACAACTCCGAGCTGGTGAATGATAGTCATACACACCAGGATATGGAGGTCCTGTGACTATGGCATCAACGAGTTCTGGAAGTCTGAGGATTCGATTGTCACATCGATATATCTGACAATTGGACGATTTTGAGTAGCTCTTAAGTGCCACAACACGCGATGCGTAAAGCTTGGCAATACCACGGAACATCTGTGGAGAAAGTCCCTCTTCAGGAACCTGCTCAATCCCTTTAGAAGAGGAATGCAAATATGTCGCATCGCCTGCACGCGAGAGCGCAACCAAAAGAACAAAGTGCAAGGCATCCCTCAAAGAATTCTTTGGCAACTCTGATATCTGAGACAGAAGGAAGTGCCAACCTTCATGACGCATTTCCATAGTGGCCGCAAGGTCTTCTGCTACTTGCAAGAATTCAGCTAGATCGATGTGGCGTGCATCTGTATGATGAGTGGCTACAAGGAGTGCTAATGGGGAGACGTCGCATCCAACGACGTCCTTACCAGCACGGAGTGCTTCCACCAGCACTGTCCCAGACCCACAAAACATATCCATGACGTGTTGAGCATTGGGTATAAGTTTCAAAAGCTCACGGGCGCACATGGCTTGCATTCCAGCAATATACTTGTAAAATCCGTGCGTCAACTGATCTTCTCTAGCTGGTAGAAAAGGATAGCCCACCGCCCATTGCAGTTCAAGCGCTCTTTTCAAGTGTCTCGTTAAATCCTCTGGGCCCTCAGCACTCAACGTGTAAAGGTTCTTCTCCTTTTGGTTGGCCTTCGCCTGAACGTCCTGGAGACTCGGCCAGAGTTTCAGTACATGCTGCCACTGGCCTGCTCGCTCACAAGCACTCACAGCTGCACTGCATGCATGAACGTCCATCTCAAATTCGCTGGCAGCTTTTTGCCCAAACACATGAAGAGCATGTTGCCATTCACTCGCCCTGGAAAAGGAACCAATTAAAGCATTGTAGCTAAAGCTGTCCAAAGGTATCTGGTGTGAGCGCATCTCCTGGAAAATGGCCAGTGTAAGCGCCCATTGCCGCCCTTCTTCCAATGCCGCAATCGTAGCACTGTAGGAGATGATATCAGGCTTTAGCTGAAAGCCATGCATCTCCCGCAGCAAATGCATTGCCACTGGCCACTCAGTGCAGCATCCACTGATGCAGGCATTCATCACCACATTGTCTGGATGGCTTTTCTCCTTGCACATTTCGGCCAGAAGGTCAATAGCTCCTTGCCACTTTCCAGCTTTGGCACAAGCACTAATTGCAGAGCTTACAGTGATAACATTCTTCTTGACCTTCTTTTGCTCCATCTCTGATAGAAGATCCAAGCCTTGAACCCACTGGCTGCCTTTCTCCATAGCGCTGATGCAAGCACTATAAGTGACTGTATTCGGAGAAATGTCTTGGCGTTCCATTTGACGCAGGAGCCACAAGGCATTTGGCCACTTCTCAGCCTTCTTGAATGCGCTGATTGATACTCCATAATGAAAGGCGTTCACTTCACAGTGGTTTGTCACTAATGCCTCCAAGACAATGGGAATATGGCGAAGCTTCCTCATGGGTCGATACAAACCGGTAGGCGTTCCAAGTGATCCCATGTCTTAAAACCTGGGATTGATTCAATAAAGTCCCGAGCAAGTCTAGTTCCGGTCTGTCTTCGAACATGTTTGCTGAGAACTACTCAAAGGGATGCTTGTGTAGAACTGTTGCGGGATCCAACGGCACAAAGTTTGGTGAAGAGTCTGAAGGGCACATGGGCATTCCCTGAACACATTTGGGTTCGACGTCTGGTTTTCCCCCTACTGGAGGTTCTGGAAGACCTAGTCATGAGTTCAGATGTATAGAGGGCATTGCAAGAGGGGCAAGAGGGATAATTGCGGCTGGGTGAGAAATTTGATGAAATTTGACTGACACCGAGAAATCGTTGCGATGCACAGCCGCATAGCCGTATTCCGCATTGTTTCTTTCACCCTGGAAGAGAAGGATAATTTCGGGAATGGCTCTGCCCCGACGGGGTCAAGAAATGTTCAACAAAAGACCACGATGTGAAGAGTGGGAGCCTCATAAAGTGACATGCGATACTCATAGATATCAAGACGCATTATATGAATAATTACTGTGTGAACATTACCTACAGAAAATATGTTTTAAAACAAATGCTGCTTCACCTCAAGCACAAAAATGATGCTACTGTACTTATACTTGTTTAGCAGGGCACACCCCATATAGAAGGACTGGACACCGTAAGATGGTGACCTTTCAAAACACCTCCTACGGTGCAAGGAAGGAACGTTGATTTGAGTGGAGAAAGCCCATTGAGTGAGTGAGGTCGCCTTCCACGCTCTTTGATGTTACACCCAGTAACACTAATGGCGACTGCCCTCTCAAATTGTACATGACATCTGGCCCTTGTGCCATCTACCCTACAACTATGAACTAGGTCGAATCAGCCAGCCGAATCACTTGCATGCAATTTAACCTAACCGAATCACTTGCATGCAATTTAACAGTATATACATGATCGATCCGTATCAGGAGTGCCAAAGCTAATGTCAAAGCTGGCTCAAGTTGCCAAGCATCTTTCTGCCAGCCAAATTACTGAGGAGTGCAGTGCCCAATTGAGGATACGACCGAAAATCTTCCAGGAAAGGTTGAAGGTCTCTGCTGATAGTTTCATGGGTTACTTCCTGATTCTTGCACAAAGCGTTGGCAGCTGCAATTGCTGGGCTCGGCATACCGGACACCCGTCAAGCCCGTCAAGGCTCGCAAGCGTGGACATTGCAAACCTGGTTGTAGAAGCGATGAATTGTTTGATACTAAAGTAAGTTGCTCTACTTCTTGAGAGGCCTTATCTTGCTTGAACCACTCTAGAAGGGGATGTTGCCATTTTTCCATGACCTTGATTGCTCGTCACAAGAGATGGGCGCCATTGAAGGAGTATCGCATTTTCTAGGGGCCTGTCTGCATCCGCTCTCAGGCCAGCTCTGATGGTTCGGTTCGACAATGAAGAACAGCAAAGGATGGCGCGTGTCTAGGTTTATAGCAAAGGTGTCCGTAACAAAGAGTACATTCTTGTTATATACATGGTGTGCCCAACACAGTATGCAATGAACTATATTTGTTCACATCGTGTGCTACTTGAGTCTTGAGCCGAAACCCATCAGCAACTGCCTCATGCTCATCGGAGGTCTTGTTCATATGGGTGTGCATTTACATAATGAAACCTCGAACCAATGGATTTGGGCCTCTTCCCTTCCAGGGGGGGTCAAACTGTGAGGTCCCCGCTTTTAATGCCCACTCATATCCATTGGCCTGGTTGCTCTCCTCAAACTCCGTGTAGTGAAAGCGAGGCTTGGCAGTATGGCCAAAGGGCCTGAAGTGGAAAACAAGACCAGCGGGAGGATCAACAACCTCTGATCAAGACAACAGCGACTCCGCAAAGCCAAAAGAAATGGTTGCAGTATTGATATATATATATATAATATATATATATACAATAGTTATAAATATATAACTACGTATATATATATATGTGTATATCGAAGTTGCAGCCAGGCAGCATGTTTGCAACACAAAATTTTCCCCGGGATGCCTGGCGAACTGAAATGATTGTCCCTGCTGGGACTGCTGATGCCAATGGCATTTCAGGAGGCATGTGCAAGAGTCCACTCTGTGGAGAAGGCGGGCGCAGCTTGTTGATGCTTGTTGGTTTTCTATGCAGAGAAAGAAACGAGCCTGCTTTTCAGAACCGCATTGTATTCTGCCCAGCCTCTCCACCAATCACTGGCAGGAGATCGAGCATTGGGACAAGAGCTTCACCCTCGGGCAGAGTGTCCGGCAAGGAGGTTCTTCAAAGTTTGTCGGACAGGTTTGTCAAACCTTTACTGGGCAGCCAGCTGAATTTTCTCGCCAAGAGCTTATGATCCGCTCCTGAAGTATGTTTGCGTGCGAAATGATGTTCCTCAAGGGCTCAGTCTTTGCTGGATCCTTACTATTTCCTTTGGCATGAGCCAACCGCATGTCACGGCATGCCGTGGTGCAATAGTAGGGCAACACCTGCTTCAAAAAGTATGACATGGGCTATTCTCGGGCAAAAGTCGCTCGAGGAAAGCGCTCGAGCTCAGGTGTCCATTAGGGCATGGCCGCTCGGCCTGCTTATTTGTTATCTAGCGGCTGTGAGCAGTCTGACGTGCCGTGTTGCCCGTTGAGTTCTTCTGGTGACTGTGTAGTGACAATGCATCATGGGCAGTCTCTGGAACCGTTGAGACTTCAAGGTCTAAGTTGCCAAAGGAGTTTCCACAGAATGTGTTTTGGTGAACAAAAGATGTACTCAAAAAGGTCGTATCGTGCCTAAGGGGAGGATTCAAGCCACTGCAAAAACAAATAAATATATGTACCAGCAATGACGGGAGGTCCATGCTGACATACTTGAACGTGCTGAATTTCTCCACAGTATGTGAAAAGCTACTGCCAAAGAATGGAGCTCCTCATCCTCTTGCTGATCTCTCAAAATGCGCACCTTGGCATCAGGTAATACCGTTTATATAAATGATTTACATGATGCCCTCCCTTTGTCCAAGAATGCCCTGCCTCGTCCGCATCCAAGCAGCAATGTCTCCTTTGCAAAGACGTGGATTCTCGGTGCATCACGGGTGCAGAATTTCATCCGCCAAGCGGCGTCTTACGGGTGCGCCGCAGAGCTGCCAGGGAAGACTCACCGTTCACCTTGAACAAAGGTGAAGACTCTCCGACTGGAAGGAACAGGCTTCACACAAAATGGTACCCACCACCTTCACGATCTTTGGTGAGGCCGGGTACATTGTAGACCTGTTTGCATGTGCTCTAGTGCTTGTCCAATTTCAAAGTGAGCTCAGAATAAGAAGAAATGAGCCAGCCAACCCACTTCCACAAACAAGGCAATCGTTCTGCAAGTAAGCCCAGGCCAAAGCCAAACTTGCTCTGTCTGACGTTGAAACGTACATTCTCCAAAGCATGACATAAGTGTTTGAAAGCAATGCCTCATCTCTACTGAGGTCACCGGTGAGCCTCTCACCTGTTCTTGGAGCAGTTGCACATAAAGCCCTAGGTCCCTAGGTTGTCTAGAGCCTACACTGAAGAAAAGACAATGCAAATTTCTGCAAATTCAGTTAAATCATGTTGATGTTTGTGTGACTCTTGCGCCTCAGCACCAGGATCATGTCGCAGCTTTTGAAGATTCATTTTGACTTTTCGTGGCAAGACTGAGTCCTTCAGTTTGCGAAGGGACTTTGATGCTACACGGCAGTCTGACGGATGCTCTTCCTACTTGGCGATAAAAAAAGCGATGAAGAGTCCTGGAGCCAAGCGAAGCTCTGGGTTCCTGTTGACGGAGTCCTAGCCACAGGCATGTAAAGGGCAAAACGTGCGGGGAAAAAATAGAAACAGAAATTTGAATGTATCGACATGGAACTTTGACCTTTCGGCCTTTCTGATCACCAGCTCTGGTCCTCTTTTCACTTTCCCGCGATCCAGGCAAACTTCCAGGCTCTTCAGGGCTGTTTTCAGGTACACCAGGCGTACTTCCAGGCAGTCCAGGACTGTTTCCCGCTAGACTAGGAGTGCTTCCAGGCGGTCCAGGACTTCTTCCTTGCCAGAACATTGTCGTTTTGACCTGTCATCTGATGCGACTCATCTGCAGGACAGTCCTTCCAGTGATGCCAAAGGCACGTCAGCCTGTTCCTCAGCATCCAACCTATTGCACAAGCATCTGTTCTGCTTACAAACGGGTTTTGCTATGGCTATCGCTGCTAGAGTCAGATCCTCTTGGACCCTTAGACTAACATACTTCTGGCAGACCACTTCTAGGACAGCAAATATGGAGCAAGAGAGGAGCCAAGTGCCCGAACAACCAAGATGTCAAGATGGTTCAGGTGCTCTGCAGTGGCGGTCCTTTGGAATCGAGAGGGCCAGCAAGAACGGCTGGAAGCAAAGGGAAAGCCTCTCAACACGGCCTGCTGGGAGCTCGTGAAGTTTGTGGTTCATCTTCCTGCAAGATCACTCCAAATCTCAACCTGCGTCAGTGACTGCACAACTTTCTCATTCAGTCTCATTCAGTCCTCCCAGGCCCCCCAGGAGAAAGCCATCCTACCGCGGCCCTTGGGGGCATTGGAATAGATCAAACGCCTGGAAAGGCCGGTGCCCAAAGAGGTTGTTGAAAGCTTGTCGGAACACATAGAACACACAATAGAATCACAATAGAATCAGAATAGAAAAAATACAGAAAACGTACAATGATTGAACACACTGACACACACGATGGGTTGAGTTAGGAGATCAGTTGGATGATGTAGCCTAATTTAGCCAGCGCGGGTGTAATTTCATGCAGTTCAACATATCTGAACGCGAAAGTAGAGGGGCATCCAACCTGGAAAGCGCTGCGGACAAATCCAACCTAATCTTGGAAAGCATGAACATGAACATTTACAATGAAAGAGCTGATTCTCAGTGATTTCAAACTGCGTGTGTAATTGTGCGGTGAAACTACGGAGAACAGCTTGAGCAACAGTCAAGCCACGTCTTTTGGCAGGTATATGTCATATGGTGGAAAATTCCGTCTTACTGAATCGCCATTCTTCGCCCAAAAAAATAGTCAGACTCTTCGTTCACGAATCTTTCGCGAACCCCGTGCTTAATTAGAAGTCTTCTTGGTTTGACGGTTTCCACATACCTATCTGCCACAGATTATGTTTTAAAAAAACATTGTGTTCGCGAAAGTGAACACAAAAACTGTTGTGAACAATGTAAGGGGCCCTCAATGAACCTAGGCCTTATGTCGACCTTTAGACAACTACCATGTGTCACTGGACATCTCCCGTGACATCACAAAATGACTGCAGCCCCCGGCTGCTGTACATCAAGTCTGAAGCGGAAAACATGTGGTGAGTTCTTCTCATATATATATATACATACATACATACGCATCCACAAATTTTTCAGGGGGTAGCCTTGGAGAAGTGCTGTGCTGATGCTGAAGGGGGGTTAATTCTTGTCGCCAATCTGCACCACGTGATGTGAAATGTGTTTTGTCGATCGTTGGCTTCAAATCTGAGAGAGCGTGTAAACTTCCAGGGTACAGAGAATGCATGCAATGAAAAGTCCGGTCCTCTTCACTTGAGCCTTGCCTGCAGTGAGAGCTTTAAACAAGCATATGATGTGGTTTAATCTCTGAGCTCCAGTCTTGTTGATCTTTGTGGAGTCTCCTGCAAATAGATCAAATTTATATATATATACAGAGATAGAGAAGGTTTCAAGTATAGTTCTTAGTTTGTCTTGGAGTCCTGGTCCTCCCGGATTGCGGAAGAATACGATGGGCTTCCCACATCACCGGGCAAAGTCAAAACTGCCTTGCTGGTGTCCTGCACATCGCGGGTGTCTTGCTATTTGTCTAGCTTACGTAACCTGTTGGAAAATGTCTCGTCACTGGCCGATTTGTTCTCCCAGCTATCTCCAGACCTACAGCATGAAACTTTGCACGTGTACTGTAGTAATTCACAACATACTTTGGGTCTTCTGTGCAGTGGTCCTGTTGGAAGACTTCCAATGGAAAGTCTGATGGACTTGGCACATCACCAGGCAAAGTCAAGATCTGCCCTCTGTTGTCCTGGGGCAATAATTAACAAGGCATGAATAAGGCTCTTGCCTGTTTGCGGCTCTATGTCTATCTAGGCCACCGAGTTGTGACCGTCTCAGTCCGTCTCGCCCTCTTGTCGATCGACGATATCGAAGCGTTCCACATCTGCCAAAGGTGTTTTGTTCCTCTTGTGTGTTTCCACCTTTAGGCGTCAGTGTAGCAGAGGCAGCCTTAGTCTTCACCGAGTTCACAACACCTGGGGTTGACTTGTGGACAAGTTTGGAAGGGATGCTCCAATCCAACCAGGGTAAGCTTGGACCGAAGGTGGTACTGCCATCACAAAGAAAGAGAATCTTGGAGCAATAGACTCTGGTAAACCGGGCTGGAAGCGCCAAAGGCTCAGATCTTCAATATGAAAAATCAAAGGCTCATGTCATTTGTCAATTTTGCCTTCCAGATTGATTGAGTGATTGCATACTGCTCATTCTGTCAACCTGTTCATGTCTACTTGGTTGGCTACTCCGCAGGTGTTTTGGACCCTAAAGGTCTGCGATGCTTCTTCGATAGCGCTATGGCTGGTGCATCTGTACTTCTGCCTTGAATTTATTGAGAACAACCTCAATTATTTCTCAGGTGGAGCGCCAGTCTCATGTGGCTGTGAGTCAAAACCCTGCGCCTCTTGTTGACCCCCGAAAGTGAACCCCATGGACTTCCGGGGATATCAAGCCACCATGGTTTGGCATGAATGGTTTTGACCCGTCCATTGCGCGTACAGTAGGTACAAAAGGACTTGAGAGCCCCTCCATCTGGTTCTCCAACAGCACAGAGCACCCAGAAAAGACATAATACAGCAAACACAACAAGACAATCCTGGCGGGTAAGATATGATCTCCAGCCATCTTGCCTTCATGAATTGCAGCAGGCCAACTGCCTACTTATGGGAATTTTAGAAACATTCGTTCAAGGCATCAATCAAGTGACTAGCAACTGAGTAGCGCACACAGCAATGCCACGCGTCCCGGGTCACAACGGGGCATGTCGGCGAGAACTGGCCAATAAGGAGCACTGTAAGTCCAGTCAGATTGCAAGTGCAATGATTGTTCTCGAAAACGTGTCAGTCTACCTCCAGAGCAGCTATTACATGCACTGGACAGCGACTGCTTGATTGACCTTGTGATATCTAGGATCATGTGGCATGCACATGTCAGCTTCTTGCCTACTCAACCCAGCAGCCTGCAAATCTAGGATCAAGATGGATCAAGACATGTCTTTATATTTACCACAAACAGGCCCACTTGTATACTGACAACTATCGCCTTTGACTGCATTCAATTGAGGTTGAATACTTCGGGGCTTCCTGGGTAGTAGCTACTTAAGCTTACTAGCTTGCTTAAGCCTACTGCGATCAACCCTCCCGGGCAAAAAAAAGAGTCCCAGGCTGAGCCCGGAGGTCGAGTCCCGAGTCCTTGATCACAACTCTTTCTTCGCAATCTGCTATGTACTCCTCAGCTATCTGCTCCCAATCTTCGGAGAGCTCAAGAGTCGCGATGTGCACAAGCTCCGCAGACTCTGCCCACATGGCCTTGACAAATTCAACACAACCTTCATGCAACACATTCTAAGGCATTCCACACAACTGTGAAGCAATCCTGCATATCGATCAATTCTCTTGTTCTCGCAACAGCCGAGCCTCTAAATTTATCGCTTCCTCAGCGGCCTCAGAGACCAATCGTCGCCAGTCTGGTCCAAGAGTCAACTTCCCACTGAAGGTGCGGCTTCCCTGGGTAAGAGAAACAGCAAAGTGGTGAATACATGCAAGAAACGGTTAAGTACATCAAAGAATGCTTGTCGCTTCTCGCCCTTAACCTTGCCATGGAGGTGCTTGACTTATCTATGTATATATATATATTATATATAACTATAGACAATATATGTGATTTATATAGAGTATAGCTAGTGTTTTATAAATCTGTGTGCAATCTAGCACCAACTGAAACTCAAAGGCTTTGCTCCACTGCTATCTTTTTCTGCCCCATTTTCACTTGAATTGAAACCTTCTCGGAAAGCCAGGCCTCACTTGCAAAAGTTGGAGGCCTTGAGCTTTGGCTTTCTTGGGGTCCGTCATGCCCATGGGTCGCATCCCTGGCATCCCTTGCTTTCTCAGTTTCTTCATGGTCTCCTCCTCCTCCTTCTCCTCCATCTTCTCCTCCTTCTCCTCCTCCTCCTTCTCCTCCTCCTCTCTGCCCTCCTCTCTCTCCTCTTTCTCCTGCTTCAGCCATCTCATTGGCATGTTCCTGCTCCTGCTGCTGCTGCTGCTCATTCTTTTCAACCGCAGCGCTCACACTTGGGGCTTCAAGTTCTGAATCTCCAGCCTCTGAAGTCGCATTATCAAGTGGGGACGCATCAATATCGCTTCTGGGCCTCTGTGTGTCATCTTCTATGTCTTCATCCTCTTCTTCTATTGCTTCAGACTCTGAGGAGTACGACTCACTACTACTGTTTTCACTTGATAGAGACTCACCTCTGTCACTTGATGCATCCGCTCTTCCAGATTCCACCTCTAGAGTTCCCCTGCCAAACTCGTCCAGCTCATTTGACTCATCCCCTCTCTGCGATTCAGATTGGGAGCCCTTGGCCTTGACCCGTCGACGGCGCGGCCGTGGCGGCCGCATTCGCAGCACAGGCTCCTCGGAGTCCTCTGTGAGTTTTCGCAGCAGTCTTTTGGAAGCGTCCAGCTGCATGATCTTGTTGAGCAGTGATTCGGCATCATCCCCATGTGCCACATTCTGCATTCGTCCCATCCGGGAAATCGTTCGTGAGTAGATCACCAAGGACCTAATATGTGAGGCCTCTTCCATCACTTTCTCCACAATGCGCCGATATTCCTGCTTCGTTTTACCTTCCAGGATGCAAGCATACAGCATCTTACAACTCAAAGGGTTGCTCTGTGAAAAACACCAAAACGTACCAAAACATCATGTCCGGAACGAGTTTGGTATATTGTACGGCGTCCCACAAGTTGTGCAAGTTGCTGGAGTTGGTGCTCGCATCATAGTCTCCGGACTCGACTGCGTCATCAACCTCGGCCTCAAGATGCCTGGGACTGCTTGGCCAGCGACAATAAGTGGCTCTGTGATTCTGTGATGTTCTGTAATTATTTTCTCTTCAGAATCCGAACGTATCTGTTCAATTCTCTTCTTCTCTTGCATCTCTCTATGCGTCTGTCTGTCAACCTTTCTCCCGGCCTGAGGTGTGCCTCTAGCACTCTACGCAAATCTGGCATAGATTCCATGACGCCCGCACCAGGCTCTGCGAAGGCTTTCAGGAGTTCTGGAATGATGTTCTCATAGGTGTCAATTTTCAGCAGCACCTGGAGCTGAAGCCGAGATGTGTTATTTTCAGCGACCAGTGCTGCCGCATTTAAAAGTTTCTGTGGTTGCTTGGAGGTGTCCCTTCCTCATCTTGCGAGAAAGCTCTTTCATCCAAGCCACACATTGCCAAAAGATGCTCGTCACATGCTCCTACAAGAGCGATGTACAGAAGACACAATTAAGCACGGCTGCTACAAATGTGTCCCTCCACATATCCTATAGGCATAAAAACATGAAGCAAAGCACATTGTTTCATGTCCCATGCGATCATGCGATCACAAGAGGATCTGAGGCCTCCATGATCTCGTCCATTTGAACTTCCGCATTGTAGCGTCGTTGTTCCTCAAAAGAAACACAGAACGAGCGTGAGGACGGCTTCTCAGGGAAGGACGGCTTCTCCTCTGGGAAGTCGTTTCGCTTCTTCGCCGCCACGAAGATTCGCATCATGCGGACGGCCTCCAAGCGTCAATGACAGCGCTGTGGGAACCAACAAGGGTTGAGTTTCTGCGAGCCAAACAAGGATTCAGCAAGAAGATTTGCTGCCCACCAACTGAGCTGAAGAAGTCCTTTCAACACTCTTCCTAGGCCAAGCCAGGACAATACAGAAATCAGAGCCACGTGCAAAGAACTATTACCCCCTAACAAGGAAACTGCCAGAACTATCCTCTGGGGGAAGTGTGTCAGTATCTGCCTGGGTTTGGGGATGGTCTTGGCAGAGTCAATCGTCAATTGTCAATCTCATCCAGCAAAATCATCATAAACTGCATGAACATGAATCTAAAGAATGACAGGTCTACAAGTCTACAGCGGCCTAGGATCGATAAGGTGTCTCAATAACACTGAGCAAACTTGGGACTGATCTGGATGGGTATTTCTGACGTATTGTACTGGCAACAAAATATTGAAGTAGATGAGACCAAATGCGCAGCATCACCAATGTCTGGGTAAGGAAAGTCAAATTGATCCTTTCCGGCCTTGGCTCGACGTCCCCTCATAGCCATGCTTGCAGCCCGACCAACTGTTCGGATGGCCAAGCGAATGGCTGTTCTCGGAGATCCATGGTCAGCATGGCCGACAGAAGCCCTGGACAGGATCTTGCTGAAGAATCAAAGAATGATGCTTCACAGGTGTCAACAGGTAGACTTCAGATAAATATGTACTTGCTATGTTTTGGTACCCGTGAAACGCTCTCTGATGTTCTGGTGATAAGCCAAACATGATATTGGTGGGCATCAGGATCGAGCAGGTTGATAACTCAATTGGATGAATTGTACATTGTACACCCTGCACGGCTTGTGATGCTTGCCGCATCTCGCACTCTAAATTGAACAGCATTGTTGATCAGGTTCTTGAGTCATATTATGGAATCTAGTCTCCCCTTCTCCCTGAAATGAAAATATTATTGGATTTTCTCGCTACTGTACATGTCCTTTCCGCACTTCACCGAACAGGTTCTTGCATCGGGAGCTGTAGCTTTAAATAAACAATTGTTCAGCTTCCACGGTTAGCATTTCTGTTTTGCTGTAGTCCCTCTTGCTTTCGTCAGCCCTCTGATACTTCGCTAAGCCACGCCCACTTCCTTCACAAGTAGATCTCTGGTCCACATGGTTGTACGAAGACTGAAAATACTCCCAAAAACCAAAAGTCCTGCAGAACCTAAAGCTGGAAAGAAAACAATAAACACAAGACGTCTGTCCCAAGGTTGATAACAGCTTATTGGCATGCAACCGTTCAATTCCGTCTTCCAGCCAGCGCCTCCTCAGAATGGCTCTGCGTGCTGTGCTGAAGGTCATCCTGACGCTTTGAACAGCTGACTGCAGCTCGGCCGCAATTCAAACCCCTCCCGAAGCAAACTTTGTATCACCTGTTGTCACACCCTCATCAATTTGCTAGTCAACAACTTTGAGATCACTCAAAGCCAAAAGAATTATGAAGAACGCCATCGCCCACACTAAAAAATGTGGTTTCTGCTTGCAATGACACACTATGGGACACTGATGCATGAGCAGGCCACCGTAGTATACAAGAGCACTCAATGGTTCACGTGCGAAATTAGCTCGACATTGCTCAACTACCCCATCCACCATCTTCACACGAGCAGCTACAGCATATGTGCATAGCGGCTCAGTATCGACAGTGCTTGAAAAAAAAATGTTACAAGTACCATTTGGTATTTGACTGAAAAACATGCGAGAAAATAAATTCTACCAGCATAGACCCCAAACAGTCTCAGCTGGATTTGTTGCGTCAATTCCTGAGTTCCAATGTTGGTGGAAACGTCTGTTGTTATGTTCCTGCAGCCTCCAGTTTTTTGGGAACAGCATGTAGACAAAAAAGAAAGAATTGGCACGCGCTGCCACAAGAAAACAAACTGGACAAGGCTGTGGAGAAGAAAGAACCCACAGCGCGGCCAAGCAGGACAAACAAACCTGGACAAGGCTCTGACAAGGCGGTGAAAAAAGGGCGGACGGCACGGCCGCGGCCATCTTGGCCCACAATGATTTCCTAGGACAAAACCCAACATACGCCAACAGTAATTAAACGGTTTGGTGAAAAAATGAAAAGATCCACAACATGCAAGTAGGGCCTGTTAAAAGGGGACTGCCTTACCTTCCTGCTTTTATATTTCTTCATATTTGTTTCGTGGAAACAGCCAAATTGCCGCCAATGTTTGTTGATCTCTTCACTGCTGCCAATTCGTACGAAACATAGTTGTGCGCCGACGCCTGATCAGTTGCAAATCTCGAGTTGGTGGCACCGGTACTTCCTGAAGGGCATCAAAGCTTTTACGCTCAAAGGCTCACAGCAAGCTGAGTGAACTTGAGGAATTCACGCATAGACGCATTTGTGAGGTAGCAGTGAGCATATTATGGCTGCACAGAACCATTTTTCCGACGATGCCCCAAACATCCTCCCTTGCCGTCGATAACCGTCCACGGCACAGTCGGCGGTGAACAGTCCGCATCCGTCGACGATGCCCCAATCAAACAAAGGGTGCAGGTCCCAAATCCCCCCAAGCCTCCTTAGCTCAACCCAACACCTTCTTTTGCAAACACCATACGTGATACGTACTCATCTCATTGGACATTTGCTGTGCAGTTCGTTGCCAAAGCAAATACCCAGAACTTGTCAAGTGACATCACGTTCAGCACTTCAGTCACAACCTGCGCGAACTCGAGTCAGGAGCACCTTGATGGTTGGAGCCGGAGACACTGAAGGTTAAGAACAAGAAGAAACTTCCATCTACGTCAACTTAGTTTCAACCCTGCCATGGCTACGTGCTTTATATAGCAGTTCTCAGCTTGCCGGCGCCTGGCCAGCGGTGGCTTTGTCAGGACAGGACCGCGACCGGTACGAAATGAAACTCGGACCCGGATCCGATCGGATAGGACATTCGTGTTTCTGACAGCTGCAAAGGCCCAATGACAGCGCAAAGGCTTGGCAAACATCCGAGCCAAGAACCATTGCAACAAGTAGGTTGACGTGTTCCAACCGTTTTGTGGCAACTGCCATGGGAACATGTTTGAAAGCCTGTCCAGGTTTGGTCCACGCCTGCCAATGACCAGCTTCATATCTGCTTCCCCCCTTGACCGCTCCTGTGACTACCACCGGCTAAGGGGGGTGGATCTAAAAGCCTCAACCCCCTTAGGAATTCTAAAGTGCCCCTTATGTCAAGCACTGTTCAACCCGATTCAGGGTCGGGTCTGGCTTCTCCATGTTTGATTCTATTTTTTTGAGAAGCAGCCCCCTTGATCGCCGCTGTCACCACTACCGGCTAGGGAGGATCTAAAAGTTTGACCCCGATCTGGGGTGGACGAGTTTGGGGCTGTTTCGTTGTTCGAGCTGGCCGCCTCAGGTTGATCGTGAAGATGCCTTTTCCCAAAGGTGGTGCTGGGCTCTGTATGGTAGCAGAGCTGGCACGGTTCGTCTACGGCCAGGCGCCGCAGCTTTCGACTTGTAGGATCGGCCGCATTCTCCTGGACTGCTACGTATCTTTTACAGGACACCCTCTTTGGGAATGTCAGCTTCGCGTGTCTTCTCCAAAGCACCCGCTTTGGAATGCCAGCTTGGCAGCGTGTCTTTCCAGCGCTCTTTTCCCAAGCACACGCTTTGGAATGTCAGCTTTTCCTGTCAGGTATCAGCACTGCTTGGGACGAAGCAAGCTGCTCGAAAGCAAGAGATCTTGCTTTCATATGGTCGAGGGTGCCCGCTCCCGGTACTCCGGCCTGTATAGCAGCCGCGCCGACGTTCCAAGAACAACAAGAAGGACTGGAAGGACAAGCAGGAGCCGAAGGACGAGACTAGGGGCTGATGGTGGCCGGCCTGACGGCAGCTGATGGGACGCGGGCTGCTTCGACCTGATCTTTTGAGCCGACCTTTCTCATGCAGAAAATGTAAAGCAAACTGCTATTGACCACAGGTAATGTTTAAAGGTTCTACCCGGATCCGTTATTGTTTTGATAAGACCTGCAATAAAAAAAAGTTGCACACGTGTGAAGCAAATCACGTTATCTGAGAATTGCCCGCAATTGCAGCCCAGGGTCAGGCTTGTCTGCCTTCGTTTGATTCCTGGAAGGTGTCTGTCTGCTGGAAGTCAGAAAGGCAATTTTCATGTCTTGGCAGAAGGAAGCTCAGAAATGTGCAGCTAGTGACAATTGAGAATTTGACTTCAGGAGCAAAGAACATGAGGACATGGGAAGTCTTGTCAGAAGTGGTGCTAGTGATTGTAAAATACTGGCGGCAACTAAAGCCTTCACTACACTTCTTGCCCGCTACTCGCCTCTGTTTGATGTTCTTTTTCGCCACCAACTTGGACAATGCAACCTCAGGAAGTCCTCTTGTGCCCTTCAAGCAAACAGCTAGTCACGTCTCGGGTGGACTAAGCAGTCAATAGGAGCGCTTTGAAGAAACTGTTCTTTCAGGATGCAAAAGCCTTGGTGTTTCATTTGTACTTCGGATGCTTCGGCGGTGCGTCCCTCTAAGTATCTCAAAACATTGTGTGCTTGCGAGATGACAGGATGCCTAGGTTTCTCCCCCGGCCCCTCCTCTCATTATTGAAGCGTCTCAATTCTAATATAACTTCAACCCTCTGCCAGTCCGCCAAGGTACAAAATCAACTGTTGGCTTCAGAAACTCACGCAATCTGGACGGAGAAGACGATTCCTGCTATCATTGTGAAAGCCACCAGCAGCACGATAAATACCAACATCTGAAAGCTGGCTGTGGATCAACGCCCATAGTACCTCTCTTGGTCTTGATACTCCCATAAATTTGCAAGAAATGCTGATCGACAGTCTAAGAAATGATACGCACGCAGCCACTCCTCGTCCGCCTGCTGGGGTACCCTGGAAGCGGTACAACATGTTCATTCTAACTTTCAAGGAATCAACAACAGCAGTAGTAACAGTTTAAAGAATAAGTAACAAAGGGGGGCCTCCCATCAGCTTCATGACTCTTGCTCCTGATGGCTGTAGCTACCATGTCCTGCTTCACATCAAATTAATTGGCCAGCCGGCCAGCCGCTAGTTCGTTTTGAAGCTTGAAAAACTTGGAATGGATATCTCTCAACACTTGCACGCGTCTAGACTCCTTGTGCACAGAAGTGCATTGTCCACAAATTCTAGGAAACACCTAGCCTATCTGATAGTGTCCTGCTCATTTCCTTCAGGGGACGTTGACAATCTCTGCCGTTCCAGCGGAGATTTCCTTCAAAGAAATCAAACAGTTTCTGTGTCTAGCAATTTTCGGTTGCAGGCATTGTCTGCATAAGCTGCATTTTTGTAACACTCCGCCTAGCTCGTGAAGGTTCCATTGTCTTCCGTCTGCCAGATTTACGTGGGGCAGGGGCCAGCACCTCCTCCCAAGGAAGCTCTCACTTTGGGCGGCCCCTCTGTTCATAGTGAACAGTGAGAGTGACAACAATGAGTAAAGCCGCTCCTCGGTCTCGTTGTTCGGCCTATGCCCATGGATGTTGACATACAATGTGACAGAAAGAAGATAAAGAATACTGTCGAGCCTTGCGCTCGTGTCATGGCTCTTGCTCCTGATGGCTGTAGCTGCCGTGTCCTGCTTCATGTCTTTATATAGTGAATCATTGCAATTTGTATAATGTGCAATTGAAATAAGGTCAAAACTTGCTTGCGAACAAAGGCAATCTCCTTTGCCTCTCCTTCTGCCTCTATCACACGGATCGTCCTGAAAGAAGACTTATTCACTGGTGGAACATCGAGATAAAGACAAATTTGCACCAGCAAAGTGCTCCTCGACAAGTCTGCATCAGTCTTGCTGCGAACGCCCACACGTCTAGACTCCTTGTGCACAGAAGTGCATCGTCCACAAATTCTAGGAAACACCTGGCCTATCTGAGAGTGTCCTGCTCATTTCCTTCAGGGGACTTTGACAATCTCTGCCGTTCCAGCGGAGATTTCCTTCAAAGAAATCAAACAGTTTCTGTGTCTAGCAATTTTCGGTTGCAGGCATTGTCTGCATAAGCTGCATGTTTGTAACACTCCGCCTAGCTCGTGAAGGTTCCATTGTCTTCCGTCTGCCAGATTTACGTGGGGCAGGGGCCAGCACCTCCTCCCAAGGAAGCTCTCACTTTGGGCGGCCCCTCTGTTCATAGTGAACAGTGAGAGTGACAACAATGAGTAAAGCCGCTCCTCGGTCTCGTTGTTCGGCCTATGCCCATGGATGTTGACATACAATGTGACAGAAAGAAGATAAAGAATACTGTCGAGCCTTGCGCTCGTGTCATGGCTCTTGCTCCTGATGGCTGTAGCTGCAATGTCCTGTGTGATGGTAGGATCAAGACATGGGTGCACAGGATTGACTCTTTCCTCTTGTCTTGTTTGGTTGACTTTGTTGCTTCAACACCATTGATGTTGGCATTGGGTGATTTCTTTGAACGGCCACGCTTCCCAGGTGAGACTCAAACTGTTGTGTGGGTTAAGAGATTGCAAGAAACAATGTTGCGCTTACGGCATCAGCACATGTAGAATGTATGGCTGGGCCAAGGGCCAACGGTAGAGATCAACTGAGCCTTTTCGATTCGGCTTCACGAGTCTGCACGCATCGGTCCGCCTTGCTCTCTGCATCATTCCTGCCGAGGTCAACGAGGTCAAAGCGTCACGAGGATGTTCCACTCGACACAGACTTTGTCATTCAAAGCTGTAACTCAATCTTCAAACTGCCAAAAAGAATCTTCACACTGCTTGAGTTCTCCACTGCTTTACTCTTTGCAAAAGAGTTTGATTCTGCACCCAGTAGATTGGGGTCAACACGTGACGTGTTTGGCAATCATTGGGCGTACTCTAAATAGGATGCATTGATGTCTGATAGTTTTTGACTCTTTGGCCTTATAGTGCTACCCTTGGCATCAGGGTAATCCTGAAAGGTGCTGCAGTAATGAGAAACAACTTCTGTACGACTCAAGACAACTGAAGGTCATGTGTTCTGCTCTGAACACGCTTAGTAACATCCCTCTACAAAAGTCCTGAAGCTCGTTCAGCGGCCTTGTAGCTAAAACAAGGTGTGATCTTTGAGTGTCATTCAGATTGTTTCTCAATGCCACCAGTAGCTCTGCCTGGAATCTGAAGCTGGAGCAGCTGGAACAACTGGAGGAGCTGGGGCAGCCGGGGCTGGAGTTGGAAGAATCTCCTCAACAGCCACGTAAGCCCGAACATCTTCTCTGGCATGAGCGGCATGAGCGAAATGCTTCAAGTCGCTTTGCCTTGTTTATACACGTTGAAAGATAGCACGCGCCGTTTTGACAGCTGCGATTTGGGCCTCCGGTGGGCATGAACGCGCATGTGCTAGTGTCCCTCCTGTCATCTAGGCTATGAGTACTCTGGAATGCTGGTGAAATCTAACACGCCCCCTATGGCAGAAGGGACACAATGAGCACAGGCCTTGATGGCCTTGGCACTTGAAGTCTGTGCCAAATGACTGCAGTCATGGGTGTGGTAACATCCACCTGTACGCGTTACCCACCACTCCTTTCTCTCAATTGTGAAACGTGCTGATCCAAGCTTCTCTCTCACCACTGTGTTCGCTTGGACCATGATCTCCTTGGATCTTTTCTTCCACAGCTCAACAGTCTCCCAGGCCCTTGCACAGTCTCCATCTCGGCTGCATGTTCTTCTTGTGTGCCACTGGACCCGGTCATCTTTGCCATCATCTTGTCTCTATCCTCCTTGACATTTTCCAGCTCAAAGCGTAGGTCACTGCACATGTTGTACATCCTGATGACCTCGCGATGCTGGACATCTCTGTCCTTTCGAATCTCTTTCATCTTCTCTTCCTGTTCAGCCACCACGACCTCGAGCTGAACGATTTGCCATTGCATGTTCACTTTGTCTTGATCTTCTTCTTGCCAGGGCTCTTCGGGTTGTGTTGCTATCAACTCATCTTCACTTCTCACAAGCGGTTCGTCCGCCTGCTTAGGTCGCCGCTCATCCTGCTTCTCCTCGATGACCTCCTCATAGGCTCGTCTTCCACTCAGCCATGCTCGCACTCCATCCATTGCCAGCCGTGCCAAGCTCAAGGCCCCAATCATCGACAGGCATAGCATGGTCACCAGTGGCCAAACCCACCAGGATTCATCATCTTCATTCTCATCTTTTGCTTCTTCTGGAACTTCTGCACTCTGTCCACCTTGTAGGAGTGACAGAGCTATCACCAATGCCACTTTGGCGTTTGCGCCCATTGTCTTGGCCATCTTGGTGGTGTTCTTCTTGAGCTCTTCCTTCAACTTGATCTCATCGTATTGGGCTTTCCCGATCTTCTCATCGTCGGCATCGATCATTCTGATCAGGTCCTTGAGGCCGTTCATCCAGGCCTTGCTCAAGATTTTGGTCCCAAGGTCACTTGAATTCACCGCCGTTGGGATCCCAGTGATGCGGACCTCTTTGGCATTGACTCGCTGCTGAAGCCATAGCAGCCCAGCTGCTATGTGCCTTGTCCTCCCAACTCCGATGCGTCCGGCCAAAGCTCTTGCAGCTGACGAGTCGGACCTGCAAACCATCTCTGCTTCTTCACTGTCAGGAATTGCCAGCAATGTCGGATGAATATGCCTTCGCTGCAGCCACCAACCATAGCAACGTACTCGCTTTCTCCACTCGACAAAGCGATTGAACGCTGGCTCCTGACATAGCTCTCGACCAAGCATCCGTTGAGGAAGATCTGCACTGAGCTCACCGACTTTCGACTGTCCCGCTGACCTGCATAGTCTGCATCACAAATGACTTCTAAAATGCTTTTGCTCTCCTGGTCGATGTCCCACTCGTAGATGTTGTCGTCCGTATTCAGCATGCATCGACCTTTGGCTCCATGTTCAAACAAAATGCCTTCATTCATGGTGCCGAGCAAGTAGGAGCTTACGTGCTGCATTGCCCGCCAACCTTTCTTCGTCGGGCATGACATCAGACTTGCAAGTCCTTGGGCCACATACTGGATGTCTGGCCTATCGGGTGCAATGTACAGGAGCTTGCCGACTGCACTCCTGTACTTGGTGATGTCTTCTTGGTTCATGGCCTCATCCTCTTTGCTGACCTTGTTGAAGTTTCCATCACCTGGCGTGGACCTGAACTTCTTCTGATCAACCTTCGTCAACTTGGCCAAATCCTTGATGTGCTGCTGGTCCGGACGAATTGCGATGCCCTTCTCAATGATCTCCATCTGCTTCTTCAGGTAGCTGAAACCTCCTGAATGGAGCGGCCCACGTTTCTCTGTCTTCCAGCCCTTGTCCTCCATAAACTTGATGAAGCCTTCTGCCGCTTTCTCAACACCCACCAACAGCAGATCATCCACATGGATGGTGAGGTACAAGCGGCCATCTTTTGGGTCGTCATCCTTTTGGGCCATCTTCATCATTGTGGGCTGCATCACATCTTGCACCAAACCATATTCTTTTGCAACTCTGCAGATGCCTTTGAACCATTGTGCTGCTGCATTTCGCTGACCCGGAAGGTTCTTCTTCAACTTGTATTGGGCATTCTCTGTCACGATCATTGCCCGCTCATCTTCCGGTTGGTCCATCAACAGGAAGGCGTCTTTCACATCCAGGGTGTATAGTGCCAAACCTGTTCTCATCTGGAGTTGCAGCAGCATTCGAACCACCACTGATGCTGAGGTTGGAGCAAAGGCATCTTCAGTAAAGACAGACCATTTGAACTGTCTGCCCACCAGCCTGGCTCGTCGGAACCAACCGCCTTGCTCATCTCGATGCTTCCATGTGATGACCATTTTGGATGTCAACACATACGACCCATCCTCAGCCTCTTCATCGTCTTTCATCCTCTCCAGCACTCCCATTGCCTCAAGGCGTGCTTCTTCACGCTTGCACGCTTCTGCATCCAGTCTGGCCAGTTCTTCGTCGTCGACCACAGGTGGCTTGCCCTTGCTCGTGTCGGGCTCCTCCTCCTCGTCACTGACAGCATTGCTGATGCTGTAGGGCTTCTTCTGCAATCATCTCATCACCACCTGGGAATTCCTCCTGGATGCTCCTGACACGACGCTTGGGACTCATGCGTCTCTTCTCATCGTCTTCATCGTCCCAAGGGAGTGCATACCCTCTCTTGCTCAGCAGAGGTGGTGTCACGGGTGCTAGGTTGCCAACTACATCTTCCAACCGCTGTCTCTTTGGACTGACCTCATGGGCACCTGGAGGGAAATTGCCAGCTGGTTCGCCTCTCATAGCCTCGGGGATTGGCAGTCGGGCGATTTTCCGCTTGGGGCTTTCTTCAGCCTCCCCCAATGGCAACCGATGAAGGCTCCTTGGATCCAATGCCTTGGAACTTGATTCATTGCTCTTGGCTGCCACCGCTGTTGGTGGAGGTGGTGCTGCTGCTGCAGGTGTGGCTGGTACAGGTACAATCATGGGAGTCTTTGTACCTGGTGTTTTGGTCCCTCCTGGCTTGTTGCCTGGTGTCGGAGGTGCTGGCGTTCGTGCTGGTGTCTTGGGGTGTCCTTCTGATGGGAACCCTGGAGTGGTTGGTCCCAGCGCGTGACCATACATACCAACAGCCACTTGTTCACCCACTGCTTTGGCTTCCTTCTCAACCTCCTCATCGCCAGTTGCTTCCTCCGCCCTGTCAGCCACTCGTTGCCTGGCAGCAAACTTGGTCTTCATCAGAATGCCCTGCACTGAATATTGCCAGGGTAGACCTCGGCAGCGAACTAGCATCTGACCATCAAACTGCTCAGGCAACCTCCTGATGGATCTTGCTTCAACTGCTCCAGATCTAGTGAGGCAGATGTGGCTGTCACTCCACGAGCTCTTTCCGACCCATACACCCTTCCGGTACACAGGGTCTCCTTTGCGCTTGAACGAGGCAACATCTTTGAACAGCACCGTCTCTCCCCATAGGGCCACTTTTCCCACATAGCGTCTGTCGGTGAGGAACTCGAAGGATGTGGACCCGTTGATGACCCGGTACCTCAGCAGTAGCCATGCAGCATGCCTGAAGCTCCAAGGATAGCAGTGCATGTCGCCAGTCAACTTCACTCCAGCTTTCTCCTCTGCGAACTGCCTGAGGGTGTTGGCCAGTTTGCGGACTGATTGCACTGTCCGCTCGGCTTGACCGTTCGATGCATGTTGATCTCTTCAGGTAGTTCGAATCTCTGTGGTCAAACCGAGAGTGGCTCGGGCATGTTGGATTGCCCTCAAGATCTGACGAGTTGCACGCTCGCCGGCCGACTGGAAGATGATGGGTTGCGTGTTGCGCACCTGCATGCTGAATCTAGTGAGCTCCTCAGTGACTTGCTTGAGTGATGCACTGCCCTTTGCCTGCACAGGGATACAGAGGGTGGCTTTCGACTCTGATTCGGCCACATATAGTGCTGTTCCCCATTGTCGATCTTCAGGAGCTCCAGAGGTAAAAGTGAACCCATAATCAAAACTGATCACAGGTCGTCCTCTGTCCTTCCGCTCACCCTGGCTCTCTTTGGTCCTTGGGTCTTCCTTTGACCTGGTGGCTACACATTGTTGGCACCATGACTGGAAGGGTAGGTGCGTCAGCTGGTGAAGTTCTTGCTCGTGCCTGCTAGGCAACTTTGGTGTCTTCAGTGGCACCGCTTCACGTCGACTCTCAGAAAAGAGCCTTTGTGCCACCTCATAGGCCAGCTTCTCCTCCTCCTGATGCTTGTAGCGCTGGAGCCTCTTCAGCACCTTGATCTTCGAGCCTGAGGTTGCCAAGTTCAACCGTTTGCAGATGTCCTGAAGGTCCTTCAACTTCGTCTCCTTGTCGAACCACAGGTCGTCTATCTGCACCCTCAGCTCTTCGGGGTCAATGAACTGGATGTCCTCCGCAATCTCAGCTCTTCCTCCACTGCCAGCTGCCAACATAGGGAACTCACCGCCTTCTTCATCTCGTTCATCATCTGGCCATGAAGACGGTTCTCCTTGCAGCAATGGATATTGGCTCACAGGGACCTCCGAATTCCAGACAAAATAATCTCGAATCAAATCTGGGGCCACGAAAGTCAATGCAGGTCGAGGTCCTCCTGGAATTGGCCTGAATGGCACAGGTGTATCGCGATACACAGCTAAGCTCTCAATCTGCTCCCAAAGTCCGCTGTTGTCCTTCTTCTTGAGCAGCGTCATTCGCGCACACCATTCATCACCAAAGGAGAGACTTGGGTCCAGGAAGTGTGTGGCTTGAGGGCTAGAGTGAACCACAATTCCATTGGGCAATGCGTGCCACCCTGGCACCTTCTCCAGCAGTGCAAGCTCTCTGGAGATGTATCCATGTAGCGCTCGTCCTTCACCTCGAACTGGAAAGACGTGGTTCTCATCAGCATCAACCTCCATCTCTGGGCTGTCTGACAGTTCCAAGGGCTCACTCTTCACTTCTCCATGCCTTAGCTTCCAGTTCGCCCATCGTGCCATTCTTGCTTTCACTCGTCCATCTTCACTGCTGCTCGCTTCCACCACCACATCACCTGACTCCTCCGTGGTGTAGCCCGGCGAACGAAGTTCCATGGCCTCTGCCTCCGATGTCTTTGACTTCTTCAGAGGTGTCTCTTCTGCTGGTCGATCAGCAGCTGTGGGTGGTATTTGTTCTGACAGTTCCTCCATCAGGGCCAATGTCTCATCAACATCAGGACTGGCAGCTCGCTTCACTCCTCGGTCGCTCTCTCCGGGACTTGGATGTTGTTCAATTCCGGATGCATTGGCTGCCGATTTCTCCTCATTCTCGGGGACCTCCTCAGCTGGTGTGGCCCTGTCATTCGAAACAGCTTCATTTTCCTTGAGCGCTGCCTCATTCTTGGGGACTTCATTCTCAACCGTCAAGGGCTCATCTTCTGTCTCGTCTGCCCGGACTGCACAAACCTGGACATCCATCACTAAGGAATTGCGCTCCAAGCGTGCAGGAATCTTCATCTTCTTTTCAGGGTGCTCGACATAAAGACCATCTTGATCTCTTGACAACACCCAGCCCTGTTTGAGCAATCGTCCAAAGCTCAGCAATGGATGTGATACTCCAACTCCCAGGGCAAACTGCTCAACAAATTCAATGAGCTCTCCATCACGGGTGTAGGCCTGCAGTCGAAGTCTGCGGTTCCCTGAACTTCTGATCGCTCCTCCTTGAGCGTCCATCATTGCCACTGAGCGGGAAGTACCTGGCATGCCCATAGCATAGAACTCCTCCGGTGCAACTGACACATCTGCTCCAGAGTCCAATGTCAGGGAAATCGTAGGTGCATCGTGCTTCACCATGCAGACTCGGACTTCCAACGCTTCGTCCTTGGCGTATTGGGCTCGTAGGTCATGATCTCCTGTACCTCCCAAAGGCGAAGTCCCAGGTGGCTCAACCTCAATCTCGCTCTGGCAGTCATAGAAGGTCTCCTCATCGACCTCGTCATGCACTTCTCTCACGACCAAAATGGTCATGGCCAGGTCCTCACTCTCCTCTGCTGTCTCCGGCTCTTCCGCTGAAAAATCCTGCGCCAAGTCGAAGATCTCCATGGTTGCCAGGCCTGTAGGCGTGACCAGCCGCACTCTCCTGACTCCAGCTCTGTGCGTAGAGTGGGAGGTTGCACCAGTTGACGCTCCAGTCGCCTGACCTTGCTCTCTTCCAGCCTGAGTCATTTGTTGACTCTTGTTCAACTCCTGGCTCTCGTGCTCCTCAACCTTGTTGATCTTCCTGGGAGCCCAGCACTCTCGGGCAAAATGCCCAGGCTTGCCGCAATTATGGCATGTGCCAGCTCCTCCTTTGCCCTTCTTGCCGTCCTGCTTGCCAGAGCCCTTCATGGCTTTGCCACCTTTTTTGCCTCCGTCCTTGGACCAGGGGTTCTTGCCTTTCTGCGTCTTGCCCTTGTCCTTTCCTTTCTTGCCCTTCTTTCCACCTTTCTTGCCACCTTTGGACCAGATTGCATCCACCTCCATAGGGCCACCACGATCTTCTTGGTCCATCAGCGGCTTGACATTCATCTGCAGGCTCCCATCACTCATCCACCTTTGGCTGACCTGCTCGTACATCTCGATCCTTTGTCGAAGGTCCTCGAACGTGGTCTCGTCTTGCAAGGTCATCTGGATGTGGAGCCTCAAGGTGGAGGGCAATGCAGCAATCACCGAAGCAATCTTCAGATCATCCGGGTAGGTCACATTGGCACTTCGTTCATACTCTCTCACCATCAGGTCGAACTGCGGAAGCTGTGCTCGGTCACAGTCTTGTTCACGTCGAACTGGATCTTGTTGAGGGATTGGATCAAAGCCAATGACCTCTGCCTGGTCTTCGGCTGCAGTCTCTGGTGAGAGTGCGCCAGGCCTCAAGTCCATTTTGATTGGCCACTCCCCTGACTAGTCGTAGTGGTCGTTGCTTCATCAATCCTGTCAACAGGGAGTATAGGCGCTCGGACTGGGGACGGATGTTCGGCAAGGAGTCGTTGATGGCATTCTCTTCTTTCTCCGCTGACTTCATGTGGGCCAGCATTTGAGGATCTACTGCACCCACAAATGTTTCAAATTGAAACCGCCAGTCCATCCACCTATTCAACTCTTCACTTCGATTCTCAGGGGCGAAGTTGGTCGGTGGTTTCAGGTGCTTGGTGAATCCTGAGCTTTTCTGGACCTCTATGAGCCCGTGAAGGGCCTGAACCAGACCTTGAACTTGACTGATGGAGCCAGTTGCACCCGTAGTCGCCCCACCAGTGCCATCGGGCTCCTCGACGCCAGCCATGTGCGAGACCCGGCTTCTGACACTCACCCGGGCTTTCGGTGAGCCGCTCTAACCCCGGTGGATTAAGGGTCACCCTGGAGATGCTGGGGCTTCCAGCAGAGCTCCGCTACCATGAAAGATAGCACGCGCCGTTTTGACAGCTGCGATTTGGGCCTCCGGTGGGCATGAACGCGCATGTGCTAGTGTCCCTCCTGTCATCTAGGCTATGAGTACTCTGGAATGCTGGTGAAATCTAACACACGTTCAAAGTCTTATATACTGTATCTATCTGTCAGTTACCCAGTAAAGATGAGGTCATTGCGCATGACCACCAACATCCTTCGACGCATTTGCAGTACGTTGTCTCCCCCTGTTTGCTGTCCTCCGCTGGGGAGTTACCATCTGACATCAGCTGTCCGCCATCTTTGCCTCCGTGTCCGTGTATCTTGTGACACAAGATTCCACAGCAGGGTCGAATCTCGGAGAATCACACAGCGAATGCCAATGACTTCACTGGTACCTCAGGCGTGTGGTTGCCGCCCTTTGTCTTGCGGAACGTGGCCTACGTCAAGGCTTGGTCGCCATGGCTTATTGCGCTTCGCAACAAACCAAAGGAGGCAGCATCAAGCCTGTGGTACACTATTTGTTCTGTTCGTTATCTGCAGTCTCATAGCTTGCTATCGTTCGATAAAAGATCAGAAGCAAATTACTGTAAATCGACAAAGAATAATGTGTGTCACAAGGGCAGCGTAACCAAAATTAGCCTAGATCGTTGGAATGAAGTTGGTCTGCCAATCTTTTGGTGTTCTGCACATAATTCAAAGGGCTGATGAATTCTGGAAGGTCAGGCCAGGCTGATAAATTCTGGAGTTACAGTCCTTTACAGCATCACTTTGAGGCGCCTTCGGTTTAATTGCTTCACCCCAGCAGCGTCGTACACTTTTTACGCACGGACGAGTTTTTCCCTGAAACTGCCGATTGCTGCGAACCTGTCACACTCGAGCATAGCAAACTAGTGCATGCATAATCAAATACGCATCATATGAATCATACAATATTGACAGCAAGTGGATTGATGGTAAGTTCACAATGGTTTTTCGTTGTTTTCCACTCAATTCTGAGGTCAAACCCTCAACGCCGCTGTCCTTGTTCCAGAGCGGGGAGGCTGGGCCTGATCTTCACGTGCCATCAAATGCCATTTGTTACTAGTGGCTTCTTGTTACTAGTAGTAATGCCAGGAGCTACTAATAGCGTCCTTGCTCCTAGTAGCGATGCCCTTTGTCACTAGTAGTTGTTCAGTGGTTCTTGCCTGATGCCGGAGAATACCGGATGGTGAGGAACTCGAGGTGGACCACACCTGTGAAGCGGCGATGCTGCTCTTCTCTTGTTTGCGAGGTTTGGTGTCCTACAATGTGTGATGCACGTGGTATATATATCAAGTGATGTCATGCGGGTACCAAAAACAACGTATGCACAATATGTGTACGTGTATATACTGTGTATATATGCGTGAGCTCTTTGAACCGCTCAAAGGGTCTTCAGGTTTGCATGTGTTATGCATGGTCGTGAGTTGGAATGCTTTGTTCTCGCACTCCTCCTTAGCTCCTGGCAGCTTAAGTTCCTGGAGCTACTAGAACTTCAAAGCCGTGCTATCCAGAAATTTCTGGTGCACTTCCATCTTCCTGTACACCATGACTCTACCAGCTGCATCTCCGGCTCGGTCAGCTACCACCCAATGGTCATGGAGCTGATTCATGTGTTCCTTCGCTCGTAGGCCTGATCGGCCTTCTGGTAGGTCAAGGTCACCAAGATCTTCCATCTTCAAGCGCTTGATTCGCTCGATCTCTTCATCATGCTTTCTTTTCTTCTCTGCCCTTCTCGCATCTCTTGTCGTCTCATCCTCAGGGTCACTCTCTGGTTCCCTCACTTCCAGGTACTCGGGGGAGATATGCACAAGTTGCCCTGACTCCAACTGTACCAGTGCTGTCTCACCCTCTTGTGTTGCTTCCCCTGGGACATTGTCTGGGAATGCCGCTGCCAAATCGATGGACTCGTCCTCAAACTCTTCATTGCACTTCCGTATCAGCAGCTCTTTTGCTTGGGCTTTCAACTTCTGCAGATTTGCATTCCTGTTGGACTTCTGCAGGTAGTCCCAACGCTGCCAATCCTCGTCCTTCATCTCTGTGTCATCCACGAACCCATCAATCTTGATAAGTCCTCTGTGCACCTTTTGGATGTACTCGGCCAACGTCTGCACTGCTTCCTTCACACCTTCTTGCTTCCTCTCTGACTCCTTCACCTCATAGTCGATGGCGCTGATCATCATTCCATCTGTCTTGCAGTCTTGCCGCAATTCATACAGAACTTCCTTCACTTCTCGCAAGCTCTTCCAGAGCAAATAGACCACACCAGCTAGGAGGATGATCGTCAGGACCAAGATGCCAATCACCCATCGTGCCATAGAGCTCGTTGATCTCTCCTCAACCGCTAGACAGGTGTTGCTCTCATCCATAGAGTTCCCGGCCACGTGCTCAAAACCCTCTAACAGCAGGATTCTGTTTAGCAGCTTGGCCAATCTGTCGATCTTCCCTTTGCTGACCAATCCATCAGCCATTCGATGATGTTCACCCACTCCAAGCCTCTGGTGTTCTTTGTTGTTGGTCCTGCACCAGTACAGGATCAAGTGGATCCGTGCCTTGCTCAGGGGTTTTGTCCCCAGGTCAGCCACGTTATACACTGTTCCAACCGACTTCACCCTGAGCTCCTCCTGCGCCACCAAGTCCTGTACCCACAACAACTTGCCTGCTATGTGTCGTAGGCGTCCAGGTCCCTTTCGATGACATAGGTGTAGGGCTGCAGAGTTGTCAACCAAGCAATGGTGGGTCACACTCTCTCCCACCAAGAACTCCAAACACGTCTTGAGGTATATCCCATCAGCTGCGGCTCCAACCAGTGCATTGAGCTCTGCCTCAGCTGAACTCAGGCTGACAGACTTCTGTCCTCTGGAGCTCGAGAACACCACCGTGCCATTCACCATGTGGATAGCCGCACTTGTAGATCTGCGGTGACTCTTCGATCCTGACCAATCGCTGTCCGAGAAAGTCTCCAGCAGCCATCTTGAGGTATCACATCGCGTCACCAATCCATGGCCTGCCTCTTCCAGTTCAAGGACTCCATATTGGCCCATAGTGGATTTCAGGTAGCCGATCATCTTTGCCAGCTTCTTTAGACTTCCTGTCGTGGGGCATGCCATGCTTGATGCCAGCTCTTTCACCGCAAAGCTGATGTCCATTCTCTCCTGGCTCAGGTAGATGCCACATCCAACCAATGATCGATATAAACCTGCCAGTTCAATCCCCAATGGTGACGTTCCATCTGGTTCCAGCATCTCCTGTCCACAGGGAAGTTGTTGGGTCTTCACCCTTCCCATCATAGCCTCATACTTCTCAACCATCTCTTCTGCGTACTTGCCTGGATAGACTCGTAAGGTGGGGTTCTCCTCTTCATTGACAAGCTCATAGGTCCGCCTCAGAAACTGGATCTGATCGTTCTCCTTCTCAATGTGCTGTTGTGAAATTTCAAATCGAGCTTGTATTGCAGGCAGGAAAACTTGACTTACATATGACTCCTTTCCCACAAACATGACGTCATCCACATGGATCAGAAGCATCATGTCATCGTTGCGCCTGCCCAAACAAGGGTTCTCATCCGCGAACTCGAATCCTCTCTCTCCCAGCCACGATGTGATGCACTCATACCATGCCTTTGCTCCAATACGTTGTCCAGGCAGGTTCTTGAGCGCTTCAAAGTGTCCATTGGGAGTTCTGAGCTGTGTAGGCACTGCTTGGTCAACTTGTAGGAAGGCGTCTTTTACGTCCAAGCTTCCCAGCCAGTACTTCTCACCGCCAGCTTCTTCCTCCTTCTTCCTCATGAGGTAGATGAGTGGAAGCAACCGTGAGGTCTCTGTCCACCCGTTGCTGGAGAATGCACTTCATCATTCCTTTCCAAGGCGTACTCCCGGGCAACCATTCTTGACCTCCTGAGCCACTGCTTCTTCCCATCTTCAGGCCTGGGCTTTGCTCTCCAATCATGCACAAACCTGGTGGGGTCCCTTCACAGCCCGAAGTACTCCCATTCGTTGCAATCTCTCCTCCTCAACCATGTCTGCGAGGTCATCCACACATTTAGGAGGATCAGGTGGTACACGATCAAGAGAAGCTGATGACCACAACTCCTTGAGCACATCTCCTCCTGGCAGCACCTCCTCTTCTTCCGGCTCCACATTCCAGCTGATGAGATCATCATCCCAAATGCTGTCATTGTGGTAGAATACATCACCTCCAACTTGGGTGGCTGCAATCCTCCTCTCCACATGCTGCACATCATCAAGCTTAGCCCTCTTTGGGTCAGGGCTCACCATCTCTAAGCCATGAACTGGCTTCTCCATCGTGGGCTTCAACTTCTTGGAGTCCTGCTCTGAGCTTTCCTCCATACATGCCTGCTTCTGTGCTGTGGTTCTCGGACTCGACGGTTGTCGTCCACTTGAGGGTCCGGCTTGATTGTTCTCTTCATCGATGAGGGGATGCACCTGAGCAATGGGGATCACCTCCAGCAATGCAGAGTCTTCCTCTCTGAAGCTGACCTTCTTGTCCTCATGAATCCTCTTTTCCTCTTCTTCATTGGCCTTCTCTTTCTCAGCTTCCTCATCATCCCTTCGTTGGTCAATCTTCCCAGCGTAGGACCTGGCGAAAGTGATCACCTCATAGGCCTCCTTATCTTCCTCTGCCAACTTCTCTAGATCTTCAACTGGGAGCGACGCAGCCGGTCCTTCCACCACTGCAGTCACCTTTTCGAGGGCACGATTCTTCCTCCGAAGTTTGTCTGATACTCCCAGCTGAAGGCACTGAATGCTTTGAAGCAGCTGAGAAAGGATTGCCAAGACTGCTCCACCCTGCGGATTGATCGACTCAAGAAGACTCGACTGCCATCTCCAATGATCCAACAATCCTGGGTCTCACTTTTCCCAAGGCATATTCCAATCTTCGACTTGGGATCCGCTTTGTAGCCCTGCTTTGGCTTGACATAGGCATGGACCACCTCCCCATACCGGCAAACCTTTCCCTCATAGGGCCTTCCATAGACGAGTTCATAGCTGGTAGTTCCCTGCGTGGCTTGGAACCTATTGAGAACCCAAGCGCTATGTCGGCAGCACCAGCTCCACAAGGGGTGTTGCGCACTAAAGCGCAAGCCTGTTTGTGTTGCGACCTCCTCCATGAGACTTGCTGCAACTCCTCTGATCCTCTGGAATGCGTTTTCTGCAAGGGAGTTGCCTGAGGAGTCGTACAGCTTGGTAGTCCTCATATGGGTTTCCAAACCAATTGCTGTCCTTGCTTGCACCAACAACTTCAG